AACTACAGGAAACGTCTGATCTCTGTAACTGCAAACAAAGGTTTCTGTACCAAATATTAAGTTTCATTTTTCTGCTGTATCAAATACTTATTTCACACAAATCATACGTTGTATTTTTCTGGATTTTTGTTTTAGATTCCATCACTCACAGTTGAAGAGTACCTCTGATAAAAATTACAGTCTTCTACAAGCTTTGCAAGTGGGAAAACCTGAAAAATCAACAGTGTATCAAATACTTGTTCTCTCCACTGTATACACGTTACCTGGCACACCCTGCTCGAAGCATCCTGACTTGGGTTTGTGTGGTCACGTGCACTCCCACATGCTTGACCTGTCCCTCCTCCCATCTGGTTGGAGCTCCCTGGACGCTGGTGGCCAGTTCGCCTGCGAGCGACGATACAAACGGTCAAAACTTAAAAACTGTCCCTTTCAGGCTACTTTCCTTTCTTCGCCAACTCGTACCTGGAGTCAGCACTGGAGGCAGACAGTCGTGGAGGAATTCCTGGGCTTTCTGGTCGACTGCAGCATCCACCGGGGCGTAATCCGGCAGCTTCTTCAACAGACTCTCAACGTGGGCCAGGAATTTATCCCTGCGGGTGTCCTCCTGCACAAAACCCTGCGGTTGTTAGGCGTCACAACAAAGGGATAGGTGTCTTAGAAACAAGTGTACCTTATCAGAATGCTGCACTCCCATGTAGGTCAGGTAATCTAAAGGTAAACCACGTCTGAAGTCCACGTCTTCCTCCATGGCGATTTCTAACGCTGCTGGAACAACCTGAGGAACGACACCCGAAAAGTGTCAAAAGTTTTGAGAGTAAAGGGAAGCTATTAAACAAAGAGATGTTTGAAATATTGTGACGATGTGCAGAAGTGGGAGTGTCAGAAAGGGTAGGAGGTTCTTAAAGAGAGGCCAATTTCAAGGTGCTTAGACCATGATGAAAAGCCAAACTTATTTTTAAATATACAGTATTTACACCGAAGGTTTGGTTTATTTATTCATTTAATTTAAAAAAGCAAATTTTATATACAATTAAAAAAATTAAAAAATACAAAGCAGCAGAAAGAAGAAAAAACCTTATAATCTCTGTGCCTTTTCTCCAAATTCAAACATCTTCACGTAACAAAACAAAAATAACATCAAATCTTGAACAAATAATCCTTTCTAGGCAGGTCATTTTTACGTTATTTGTTGGAAATAAAAGCAGGTAGAAGATACAAGATGTTTTGATTTCCTGCCCCTCTCATACTCAAAACCTAACTCAAATTATCCCCACATTAAATGATACTTAGATCTTACTTTCTCATCCTTAAATATACAATTATTTATACATTTTTAATATCAATATTTTTGGTCTTTCAGACACCTTTCCTGTACAACATATTTCCCAGTAAGCTCCATTTTTTTAAAATCTGGTTTGTGTTTGTAAAGGTAACAAATAACTGTGATACAGAACTGAACTATGTCTAAAATACATAATATCCCTCTTTTAAATATCATTTGTGACAAACTTTAGGTTTTGTCTCATGATTTTCAGTTATTCAAGGTCTGCCAACACTATGACTACTTCACTGACAAAATGTTGCCTGTTTGAGTCCAAAAACTGGATTTCGACACCTTAAGCTGCGTTCACACCGAACGCGATTTCAGCTTCAAAATCGCAGCCAACGCTGAAGTTTGAAGCTTGTGCACTTTGAGGTCAGACGCAGGTCAGCTCTTGAAGCGCTGCACGGCAACAGCCGCCCCGCCCCTCCCTCCTCTGTCGGGCTCTGTTTAATGTCGGACCAGGAAGTGACTTTGCTTTATTTACAGAGAGCAAGAG